AAAAATCGTCGTCCACCGCAACCAAAATGCTGGTGATTGGTTCAATAATTTCACATAATTACATAAACAAACATCCATGAAAAATATTCTTAATAAAAATTGCTTAAAAAGTTGTCCCTGGTACTCTGAGATGGGATTCGAATCCCCAACCTTTCGCAATCCGGGCGCTTGCTTTTATCACTGACAGTTCTGAAGAATCTGTCAAGCACTTGTTACTTTTTCGCTGCTAGAGAGCGTATTTCCATCAATGTTCAGACAATCCACCCAAACAGCGGAACGAAATAATTACAAATATTTTAAACTTTCGATAAAGATGAAAATTTATTCTAATTAATAAATTATATTAAGAGTATTTACAGTTGTATAGAGTATTGTAAATACAAAATTGATAAATTATAATAAACATCCATGACTTAATCATAAATTACACGTGCCGAAAACATAATTTAACTTCCTATTGAAATTGTGTGAGTTGCTTGTGTATTTTCTGTATATAACCTGTAATTTAATATTCTCTCGTATATTCTTGATGAATAAAGTTAGTAAGACAAACGACAAAATAATACAAAATGTTTATTTATTTCTATAGATATAATTATAATAAAGAAAATATTTACATGCTGTTGGTAGAATGATTGATAAATTTATATCATATATTTGTGCACTGATTATTATATTAAATCTACTATGGGAGTAGCCAACGTAGAATGTAGTGTCAGGACAGAGAAGAGTTCAAACAACATACTCCCAACTTCTAAAGATGTTACACGTAATTAGATATCATTACTCAAAGGATGCAAGTCGTTATCTACGGTAAAATAGGCAGATGTCTAAATCTTTCATATGTGCCTTTTGCCGACTTAATACGGATATATCAAAGTAGCTGCTGAGTGGAAAAGTAATCACAAAATATCTTTTAGTCGGGCATAGTCAAATGACGATATCATTTCATCAAAGACTGAAATCCTGAATGAAAAAGAGAGTTTTTATAGACGGTTATATTTCAAATAAGTGCCTTGAAAAGCATGGCGAGAGCTTTCAGGCAATAGCCTATATTATACTACTGTATTCATCTTGGCTGTCGCGAGCTCAGTGCAGATTGGTGGGTAATAATCGGGACCGAAAGTTTAACATAATTTCTGAATCGTCGTAGACCGAACACGTTAACCACTACCCCATAGAGCTTCTCGACTATTGTATTAAAGAAAAGCAATTTGGCGATAAATAAACGATTCTATAAGTAACATTCTTTTCTATATTCCGTAAATTTTGACAGTATTAATAATTTTCATAGGCTCTTATTTATATTTATTTGTATTTCGTAATTTCATATATCAAAATTATCTTTCTTATATTTTTTATGACATATCTTTTCCGATCTTCATATCACATTTCATTTAATGTTTGTTTTGAGAACGGGTCAATCTTAACTAAAATTTATCTACTTGTATACTGCTGCAAAAGCAAAACGAAGACTGATGTATATCTATCCTCTAGAAACAGTGAATTATTACATCTTTCGTCTCTGTGAAGATCAAAATGGGAATGTATTGACATAGATACGTAGATCTGGCGGAGTAATAAATCGCTCTACACAGACTTCCTAAGGCAACTCAATGATTTCATCGCATGACTATTGGATGTTTGAAGCCGACGACAAAGAATTTGATATATACGTTTATTGTATTGACTGTTGTATTTAATTGCAAAAGGGGTCTTGTCGACAAATAAAGGTCTTATCTTTTGCTATATACGTCATTTGGACTACTTGGAAGACTTTTATATAGGTACTCGGTTGAATGATTTGTTTTGGAATTATATATATAAAAAATAGACATAAAAATGTATAAATATTATTCTATACCTTGACTTACAATTGAATAACTAGAAACAGGACGAGGATTATATCGACATGGTTCAATTTCGTTTATACTAAACATAGCATTTTTTATGCTTACTATAATTTGGTAGTATGTATGACCGTCTGATTTCAAAAACGGATGTTTTTATTTAGAATTATGAGTTTTATTTTCACATTTTAGAGATTAAAAGATAATGTTACCATTGTTAAGATTATTGGATTTCCAATTGATGTTTTTAATAAAACATTCAGTAGTTTGTTATAGTGTTCTTCTAAGACGCACTTGCTCATACCGACACTAATTTAAGTGAAAGTGTTTGTTGACTTCGAATAACTTGAGATATTTCATCAATCTTGTTACAGCCCCGATAGCCGTGATCGTCTTTTGGTTAGGAACCTATGTTGTGGCCGTAGTAACCCAGGTTCGAATACTGGTCACGGCAGTGATACACTATTGAGGCGGGGTGATATTTTACTTTTTTTTACGAAAATACCATTATTTTTTAATCTTTAATAAATGGGTAATGTTTATTCTCCTTGTATAAATTCTAAATAAATATATAGAAGCTCGTTAGTGAAGTAGTTAGCGCGCTCTGTCTGCAATACGGCTCTTAAGCAACACTCGCAAGGACCGGTCATAGAATGGGTGACTAAAATTTTTTATATCGAGCTCCTCCGTTCTTTGGAAGGCGTATAGATGTATTTTTGGGATTAAAAAGTTGGGGTAAATGTTTGAATTTAAAACTTTTGTAAAATCGATTCCTACTCACAAATAAATCACGAAATTTAATGCCTTCTTTTAAGTCGATTAATAACTTCATGCGCTCTGCCTTCCTCGTGGAGTATATAGTATGTGGAACTAGGTACAATATACAATATGAATATCTACTTGTACAAATCATCTATGTTTGCATAAAATAAGCCGTCATTCCTTTTGTATTGTACACCTTAACATTAGTTTAAATAGCATTGTAGCTAATAACTATCCTACCTTGACTCTCACGGCTATGAGTTTCCACCCATACAGACGACTAGGAATGCCTTTTTGTATGTTAATACCGGCTTATTTATTGTATTCGTTATAAACATCATTGTAATATAACAGTGTGTTATTGTTCATGTTCAGATAACTCATAAGTTCACAGTGATAATAATAAACTTTTAAACTCACTTAAAAAAGGGAGGTTTTCAGTTTGACATGTATGCATGAGTGTATATATGTTTGTGAGCGATTAGCTCGCGTTTGGCTGAACCGATTTTGATGTGGGTTTTCAGCATTGTATTTGTCAGACTTCAGAGAAGGTTTTAGGCATTAACTTTGCCTTTTTAAAAATGGCATTTAACTGATCAAAAAATGGAGGTTCGCTCTTTAAAACGTGTTGTATGTATTGACCGCGGTTATCTCGCGTTTGACCGAAGCGATTTTGACGCGGTTTTCGGAAAAGTATTTTTAGTGTTACCTATTATATAAAAAATATTAAATATTACTAAAAGTATGAAATAAAAATTTAAAACAATGAGTTTGTCAATGAGTCGTAAACGAGAGGTAGGGATAAAATGTTGGGCAATTTAAAAGTACTTGAAACATGTTTATTTGAATAAGCATATTTTGTCATTGACTTTTATTAATTATAAACTTTCGCGTTGCATTATATTAGATTGTATAAGACGGGTATTAACGCGATCAAATTTTCGATAGTTAGGTTTACAAGGTTACACCGGCCGTGGTCACGGGCTGACTGTTTCTACTCGTGACCACGGCCGGTGTAACCTGGTCGAAACGTCGGGAAATATAGGTAGGTGAAAAACCTAACTATCGGAAATTTTATTAATTACTTCATAATTAAAAATATATTCTATTCTTGCGCTATATAAGAGCCTTTCAAAATGAGCAGAGTCTTCAAAAGGTCTTGTGTCGCTACGCATAATACCTTCGTGTCTGTTTCACAACCCCTTTATACCTTTTGAACATCTGTAGATGCAATACAAATGTCTTTATCATCATGTTGTCTTGCGAAGGGAGACATACCTTTGTCTTTGGTGTTTATCATGGGAGCTTCCTTGTTAAGACGTTACCTAAGTTTTATTTTTATTTTAAGAAAAAATTACATACAATCTTTTATATGTTTGTAAATAATAATCTTTTCTGTAATTTTTATTTTAGCGCTTTTAAAAAGAATCTGGTCTTGAAATTTTTATTTTAGTTATTTCACAGTAATCTTCTCTGCGAATTTGTTTTATTTGATACCTATCGTATGAGAGTACTTAAAACATAATTACAATAAAGAAATTTCAAGGTGTCGCCATCTCTGAGGTCCCGGGTTCGATTCCCGGTCGGGTCAATGTAGAAAATGAACTTTTTTATATTGACTCGTTGTCTCAGATACTCCATAATACGGGGGCTTAAGCTACTCATCTTGGAATCTGAGCAATGTATGTGATGTTGTTAAATATTTATTTTTTATTTTATTTATTTATAATCATTTAGTAGAATTCAGACGAGTCTTTACTCCTATAATTATTCAAAACTACATTTTTAAGATGTGATAATATTCAAAATAAAGGAGTAGGTAAAACGCATAAGGCATACGCATTTTATTTAACTTACACGAAATATTATTGAGCAAACTTTTCAGAACACTTGCTGACTATTAACATTGTGTTTGTTAAAGCGTGATAAGCTTTTTCCAATAATTTCAATACGTTATTGCTTCGTTCATCCATACCAACGTTCTTTGTTGATTATTCAAATTGCTAAAGCTGTGCGAACAAACTCAAATGTAATTTATTTTTACATTATTATCATCATACATTTGTGATGCCTAAAGTTTTCACTTTACATGAATTTATATTTTAATAATGATGAAATATATTTAATAGAAAAGTACAGAATTTAAAAAAGATATTATAAATAATAGTACTGTTTGGGAAAAGATGTTTAATTATATATAAACAAATAATTATGACTATTTACTCCTTAATTAATATGGAGATACCATAGAGATCTAAATTATATGGTAATTACAGTCCTTGAAAAGAACTAAAGTGAAACTGTAGTAAATGTATTCTTAAATAATAAGTACCACAGAAATTATATAATTGCATGAAAAAAATATTTTTTCTGCAGGGTCCCGTCACCATGTCGAGTGGGGGCTGCTCTGGCCCCGGGGTGTGCGGTGGGGCACGTCGAAGGCCCCCACCGCCCCCAGAGCCGGCTATCTCCCTCGCTGCAGACCTCAGCGAGCTGAGTTTAGATCAAGGTTACCACACTTTAGCGGATAGTGGCCCACCGAGACGCAGGCGTGACAATAGGGAACTAAGCGATGCGATATGGCTGAAGATATTATCCTATTTAGAGGTAAGCTTGTCTTTCAGGTCCCAATTCTGGATTTTATCCAGCTCAATGGAAGTCCTATCCTTGTTAAAGCTACTTCTTCTCGTTATCTATTTTTTTGTTATCTTTTATGTTTCTTTGTTTTGTTTAACACCTATATTATAATTTATATGTGTATTTCTCTCTTTGTCAGGTATCAGAACTGTGTCGCATGGCACGGGTATGTCGTCGCTGGGCCCGTTTAGTCGCGCGTGTGACTGCTCGGCCTGAGGTCTGGAGGAAAGTGAGAGCGGCTGGACCGTTGGAGATAGCCGCCAGGTGTGCTGGCACAAGGGCGGGTCCCTGTGTTAATGGCGTTAGGGAGTGGCGTTCTAAGGCCTGTACTGTGAGTATAGTTATATTTCAAAATATTTTTTTATATTATTAACGATGCAAATGCTGATTAACCGGAATTTTTGACTTAACGTGCCTTCCGAAATATGAAGTAGCTAGAGATTATTATTTTTGGTTATCCTTTCTGCGACCGACCCCTGCGAAAATTGTTTTGCAACAATTACGCTACCGAGCTAATTTTGCTAGTAGTAGTAAGCTCTTAGTATTAATAACTAAGTAGCTTAATATATGTGCAAAATTAATAGGTTGAGATGACATTTATGTCACCGTATTTTAAAATGAAAGCGGTATCCTTATAAGATTAGTCGCATGTCTGTCTGTTCGTCTGTCCATTAATTTGTTTCCAAATTTCAATTCTTCATTCGCTGCGTTTTTATCAGTTCTGAGCATTTTTCATTCAGCCTTTAAAGATACACAAGTATCATGTTTTTACAGATAAATGAAAAGCATATATAAAGCTTTGATTGAAAAAACGTCAGGTTATATTAATTAGGTACAAGATTAACTGCGATTGAGTTTGCTTCACTTCACATCAAAAGAATCGAAATCACTTTCTTTTATGTTTGTACCGTTAATATATAAATACCTACGTAATGTAGTATATAAAAAAACTATACAGTACATACACTTTAAAAGCTTAATATGTTACACCTTCTGGCTAATAAAAGAGTTTTCGTTGAGTTTCAGTGTTTCGTATAAAAGTATTAAATGTCACGACCTCCTTAGCCAATTGGTTCGCACGCCGGTTTCAGAGTCTCGCCATTTCTGCGATTCGATTCCCTGTCTATGTATTCAATAGAATTTTTATTCTCGTCTCAGATACTCCATAATACGGGGTTTTCAGCTACTTTCTTGAAATCTCTTACATCAAATGTTAAAACTAAAAATTTCGTTTATTTTTAGAACGCTAATTACTCCAAAGGAACTCATTTTTCAATCACTAACGATACGATGGAGGTAGGATCTGACACTGCCTATGATGCATAGATAATCTTCACGGATATGCTTTGAACAAAATTTTAAGACTGATTCAAACATTTCCTAATATCTGTGGAAAAACACAGTAGGCCTTCATAAAAGTAGTGTCGAACACTCTAAGACAAGCATAGCGCATTTACGAAATAGAGCTTCGATAATGTAAAACCTTTACTACCTTTTCAAGTAGGTTTTATTTGATTCAAACTCTATGATCTGACAGAGCTGAGCTTGTCATGGAGTTCGAAGCTGTTTTTATAACAGAATAGCCTTAGATTATTGCAAACGTAACAATATAGATCTCCGATCTGTTTGTGAAATCTGTATGAAAAATAGGTAATCTTTTTTATATATTTGTCTGTTTAATATCTAAACAGACAAACAGACGGCGAGTGGAGTGGAATATTTGTTTTATCAATATGATAAGACAAAATGAAATAGATGAAGAGAACTCCGTGTTGATTTTGTCTGTCATTAAATGTTTTAAAAGCGAAAGGCTCATGTTTAAAAAGCTCTCTGAATCTTTGTTATATTAAAACAAAATTCGCGGTATGAAATTATAAAACAACATTTTTGGAATCTAAAAATAAGTAGTTTAATATTTATTAAATTTTACATTTAAAATATTTTATTACGTGTAAATTTTCATTAAGTGCCAACTGCATTAATTTTTATTTACTGAAATAATGGAGTACTTAACTAAATAATGGAGTACCTTCAATATATACTTTAAATTCAGGTGAGATAAGCTTTTAGGTGTTCAGACTTGAAATAGAAGAAATGTAATTTAATTTTATACTTTAAAACCTACTCGAATCAAGGTACTTTACAAACGTTAAAAGTAACAGATTTAGCAGGTATTACATATTTGAATTTATTTTTTCATTATTAAGAAACTCAACAGCTTTCTTTCCTTCCACATTTTTGGTTTTCACTTATATATAATTATATAACAACATAGTTTCATTACATGAATGATTATCTTCGAAGTAAACTAAACATTGTAAACAAATTGTTATTGTGTGGTATCTTAAATAGCAAACCAGTAACATAATATAATAATATAAATTGAAACCAATAATAATTCCGATTCGTATTTTATGTTATAATAATAGCATTTTATGACCAAAATAATATGATACTAGCTATAACCTGCGGCTTCGCCCACGTGGTCCGAGGTTAGTGTGTACATACTGACTATATTGGTGTCTTAATCTAATCTTAATTAAAAATCTGCCAGTAAGCATCCACTTTTATATCATCGTCATTAACTTGTCAGCGTCCTCATTGCTAGGGCACAGATGGAGCCAAATAAGAATAATTTACTAGAGTTTTTGTGAATGTGGTCTTTATAGAATAGTCCAGTTCTGTTTCCATTTTAGTATGCAGTAGAATCGACACGACTTGCAAAAATACAAACAAATATTTGTTTTGAAATAATAATCCTTTAATTGGAGTTGTTTAATAATTACGCCGTCATTTTGCTTAGATTTATATAATTAACTACTGTGCTTATTCTGGACTTTCAGAGAAAGGCTTTCATTTTAAACAGCCTGTTGTTTTGCTTGTGCAAGATATTATGCCTGATCATCAAAACAATATCTGCTTGTTCTTGCTCTCTCAATTCAGCATTTTCAGAGATTTTAGTGAGCGACGCTAAATTAAATTTCGCCAACAAATATTTTGAAATCTCTTCAATTTGTACGTCACATTTGCTGTTTTCCAAGGAGTTGTTCGATATACATTTGGCCGACTGTTACTCGTAAATTTGTAAAGCCAATATAAATGCTACTGCCTTAAATTTCTAACAACAACCGTTTAGTTGATAAAAGCAGGTGAAATGTCCCTTACATTTGACTGAAAATTTAAAATTGGCACTTTGAAACTTAATAATTTACGAACGGCCGTAATATTTTAGAAGGACCTATCCATACCTACGCTATGGGAAAAAATATTTTTTTTCATCATAAACTTTACATGTAGGGGGGGGGGGGGGGTACTCGACAAATTTTTTTTAAGGATTTTATTTTACTTCTTTGTCGGCGTAATTAAAGTGTATACTCATGTTAAATTAAACTTTTGTAATACATTTTCTTTGAGTTTAACCGGAGACTGACGGATAGACAGTCGGACATGACGAAACTATTAGAGTTCCCTGTTGACTATTGAAAGATGAAAGCGACTTTGTTTGATTTTGTTTTTGCAACATTTTTAATTGCTGTTCCACTCCTATAAGTATACACTCCATAGTGTGATGTTATATAGCCCATAGCCTCCCTCGATAAATGGACTATTTACACAAAAGAAAAATAATTAAGACTTTTCAGTACTTCCTGAAATTATAGAGTTCAAGAAAACAAACTAAGAAACTCTTCGGTTTTTTATTAGTATATAGATGAGACTAACAATGTACAAGACAAGGATACTGTAGTGATACCTTATTTGCAAACGATTTACAAATTGGTAAACTAAACCCGTGTAGGGTCTTGGTTAATCGATTGAATTGCTCGATTACTATTCTTACAGTTTGGTATATTTTAAAGTAACTAGAGCTACGGAGATATATTAAATGACAAAAATGTTAAGCAATTTGTACAAAGGTCGGTGATGACAAAAATAATTATGTAAAGCTTTTCCGTGTTTCAGAAGGCACGTTAAACTATTGGCCTTGATTGCATCTAGTCGTTAGTATTCTATAACCCAAAAAGAGTGAAAGTGCCTCTCTTTGTTAGAGCGGTGACAATCTGCAACTCTCTAAGATAGGAACTTTTAGAATTTCAACAGTTTCTTATAATCTTCCCCACTCTTCGCAAATCGGAATAGTCAATTCTCGGATATTTAACATTTGCGGCTTCATCCAACATTACATTTCCGAATAAATAGGGCTTGCGTAACCCGTTTTCTTCATGTATCTCTCCATACATATACGCGGTACGCTTACTAATAAATATCTTTCTATCCAGGTAACAGCAGTGGGAGTTCAGTTGCTGGTGTCTACATTTAGGAATATAACTCATCTCGCCATGACTGGCTCGGGCAGTATGGATGCCAGAAGCCTTGCGCCAATCATTACAGATTTGGTGGATTTAAGGCATATTGATCTCACGGGTAAATATAAATATAGACTCTAAATTTAAGTACTTAAAGATTCATTAATTGTTAATGCGTCAAAGTTGTTATAGGTTTGTATTTCTTTTCGATATTTAATACTTCTTTCGATACTCGGATTTAAAGTGACTATGATTTTAGATGAAATTTGATATGGACATTTTACTTTTTATTACCTTGACTGTCATATCTCCTTACGCTGTTATTTGAATTGGCTTTGAATTATGAAACAACATTAATAAAAACGTGCATACTGAAAAAATTTAGAAATTGCTACTTAAAGAAAAACAATATTTGAAAATACTCATACTACTCTCCGGGATTAGCTTTTCCGATAGGATGTTATTTTTTTTTATAGCGGCTACGGTTTAAAAATTCTGTGTCGGTAATTTTTCGTTATTCATATTTGATTTTTTTATGATTTGTATTCATCTTTCGAGAGTTGCCAAAGAGTTTTATTGATCATTTTTTTTTGTTTGATGATAAAACATTGGGGTTTTCGAGTTCAATGAATTAAATGTGAACGGATCATCAAAATTATTTAACTTATTATAGAAGACTAAGTTTTATTTTTTGTGTGAAATTCAGTTAATAAAAAATGTTACCATTATCTATATACTAAATATTATTAAAATTACGATTACAATATTCGTATTGTTAACTCAAACCTGATATAGCAAATTAAATCATAAACTGCCATAAGGTAAATAAAGGTTAATATCGCTAAATTTGATTAAATTTGTATGTGTAGTCTTCAAAGCTGAGTTCATGTGAACTAAATGTGAAGTAAAACTACTCTTAAATGGATATAACGCGTTTAATTTTGATATCATTTTAGACGTTTCGGATCTAAAGTAAGATATGGTTATAGCGACGTGTTATTCGAAATTGAGTTACAGGTAAGTGAATTTCTTAAATGCAATCAAATGTTCATACATCTGTTGAAAGAAGGTTCATTTAATAAATAGTGCACGTGAAAATATATGAGACCAATATTAAATAAATGTCATTGTTAATTGTAATTACAATTGCCAACCTTTGCTTAAAGAACTTAAGAGAAAAGTCAGTAAAATGGCATCCAAATACGTTCTTGAGATAATATTTGTTTTTTGCTTTTAACGGGAAATTAGGATATTACGCTTTATTATTCTATTGGGAACCAAATGACATTGATTTTAGATTAATATGTGAGCACCTGTCTGTTCTAATAGAGATGTAATAAAAAAAGTTCCCGGAAATCGTAATAATGTCTTCTTCGTGACAGCACGATCTTACATTCCGCTAAATTTGGTAATGGTATAGAGTTCCATACAGTTCAATAAAAAAATAACCGAACCCATAAAAAAGGTACCATGCATATATTTGTCTAAGGCTTTTTTTGGTGTAAATAAGAAGTAAGCTTGCAAACTTTATTATGTTACATATCAAGTGTGAAAGTAAAAATAAAATTTTGTTCAAATTGAAAATTAATAATTTTGAAGTTATATAAGAAAGCAATGCTCAAAAATGTAACAATTTCTGATATTACTAGGCTTTCACTAATTTTTTTTTTAAATCAAGACGTATATTGTTTTTACTTAAACAATAAGTAGTTAAATTCTAATATTTGTACGGAACTCTCGTAGATCGAGTTCGACATTGGCGAACAAAAATTATAATTTCGATATATTTCACTATTAAGTATATTTCACAACAAAATATAAAACAATATATACGTTACTTATACTTTTCTGCATTATCTCTGATTTGTCTACGTAACAAAGTGTACTTAGTATTACGTGGCGTTAAACTTAATTGCGGCGTTCGCTCAGAACAAGAGAGTTTGCTAACTAATTGTGAAAGTTGCACTGATGTATGAGAGGATATGAAGACGTAATATGTAAAACTTTAGAGAACTTTAATTAGTAGGGTTGGTACTCTTCTTATTTGAAAGGATATCTATAGGATATACGCCAATCCTTTCGGCATTGAGCTATATCTATGTCGCTCTTTGATGATAACATCGGATCATCTCGTGTTAGCCTTTATACTTGTTCTAACACTATGATTTTTGTTATTCCATTCTTGGTCATTCCACCGGCTTTTCTCACTCATTTTACATCTTTACGTATTGTTTAAGTAATGGTAACCAAGTGGCCTGTATAACTGATAAATAATATAAATATTATTTATTACTATGACAAAATGGCGTAGAAACTGTTGAATTTGGACAAATAATAACGTTCCTCTTCATAAACGAGAATGTCAAATTCAAAGAAGGAATTCGAGACATTTTACTGACAGCCCTGTTTATTTGAAACAGTGTACCTTTGAAGAAACTTTATACTGTTTCCATAAAATTCATTGAGTATGTTTTTCTGGATGCCACATATTTCTTTTTATTATTTTTCTGAAAGTTCATTTTATAAAAAGGTTTTATTAAACTTATTCTCTATAGAAAGACAGATGAAATAATACAGTTTTATCAGTAACTTTCATTAATTGGAATAAGAGAATTCAAAAGTATTCGGACTTAGTTTCGGTGAGAAAACCAAACAAACTTTGACTTGAGGCAAAGGAAGCGATTCATTTAATTATGAAATGGAGTTTAACTAAGTAATTAAATTAATTAAGAGGTAATATTTATTTTTGAATAAAAAGCTCACTGAGATATTTCAGTATATTTTCATAATCCACTTGTTTTGCTCTATAGTGCTTATACTGATTGCTTATATGGTATACTTAAATTACAGAACTTTATAATTACCGAACTTAAATAAAAAAAAATTTAGTATTAAGCTTTCAGATTTATATTACACACAGATACGAAATATTTTGAGTAAGGTTTTCAGATCGTATGATTGGATATAAAAATGTTTATTTAGTTGTCTGTATATATATCCTGCGTATAAAATAGGCAATAAATTTTTATACTAGAGTATAATGCAAAGTTTCAAGAAGTTTTTCGACTACTTAGAGCGAGAAAATCATAGCTTGTGTCTCGATCTATTCGTGCATGTGTAATAAGCGTGGATAGGGAACATAGTTTCGAAAGTTTGTTAATAGTTTAGCATACTTCAGTAGAACGAGGCAAATAGTTTATTGCAATCTTCCCTTATTTTGTAACTGGGTTACATTTCCTTCTTCCTAACCTTATTATAAAATCTCATTAATAAATAGAGCGACTTATAATGACTTGTTATCGACAATATCTTGTAGAGATTGTAGTAAATGTACTAAAAACAGCAATTCTCGAAGTTTAAGCCCCTACACATGCATACATGGTTATATAAATATTGTACATATGCGGCATATAATGTTTTTCACAATGATTGTTACAAATGGACGATTTTTTGACCAATCATTCCAATATTGTAAAGAAAGTAAATTATGTGTCACTGGTGACTGAATCGTTCGTTATCCCGGACAAGGCGTAAATCTGAAAGACTAATGTTAGCCTTTGCGTAGGCGATTGGTTGGCAATCCGCCATTATTTTCGACTGTGTTTGACATGAAGGTCGATGTAAAAACTTATTGGTGGCATACACAAAGTTATACTTTTATCCCCGACTTCTTTTGCACGGATTTTGAATACCCTTTTATATGAACGGAATAACCGTTTTAAGATAGGATGAAATATTATCTCTTCTAAAATATTAAGTGAAATTACTGATGTAGGGACCATTGGGATATCAAATTCCTCATATGGACCATAAGGATATTAAATTCAGTTTGCCGTATAATCAGATAACAGCTGTTTCAAATCGGATTGTAATTAGGTGAATATGGAATGTAATCAATGCAATATTTAGTGACGATCACCAAACATTGTGCTGTTAATTTGTTAAAGTATTCAAACGTTTCTAATGTATACTATCAAACACATTTACTGTACTAATTACTTTGTTAATGTGCCCTCAACTAAGTAATTAATTATACTTTATTTCTTTACATTATTCAATACCTATGTTGTTATCTACAATAATATTAGAAAGCGGTAAAGTTTCTAGTTTTGTTTGTTTTTTGTTATCTTCGGAAATACTGATCTAAAAAATTTCTTTCACCCATGGGAGCTACATCATATGGGGGTGATATATATAATTAACGCGTGTAAAGTCGCGGAAAAACAGTTACTTGAAAATAGCGATTAGATGTCGTCTATTGGTTACGAGTAAACGATGCGCTTTCATCGTACGTTGATATCAAACAAACAAAATAGAGAAACTTTAATTGATAAAAATTCGCAATCACAGTAACATGAAGGATCATATAGACTCTTAAGTTTAACTGAGTAAAAACAAATCTCCTCGAACTCTTGAACTAGTATCACGATGCTTGAGTCAACAGGATTCAGCTTACCCTTTTCAGTCCCTATAATAGGGGGTGATGGCGGAGAACGCTGACGAGAGACCTTTCTCCATCCATAGCATAGAGGGTCTACATCATAGTGGTTGTCATAGTCTGGTACTAGACTTGGCGCAAATCATTTGATCTATGAAACAATTTGATTTATTAAAAACGTAGAGCTCGTGTGCAAGAGTTTTCTTAAGCTAGATGTTTCAGTATATTGAAGAACAAGGGTACTCCTGTAGTGCGACCGCCTAGCTCTCTAGCCATAGGATACGATTTTAGCTAATATTATGACGATATTACGTTTCATTATACTACTTTGACATGTGTTTTGGTGGATACATTTGGAATTAATTATTAAATTGGAAACACTACGATCAAATCCATATTAATCATTTTTTATCATATCGTACCTTATGGCTAGAGTTGTTGCAAGGGGAGTTAGGCGCCCGCTTTCCTAGTGCAGCGCGTAGGTAGATCCCTACATCACAGGAATTTCAATATACTACCTCTGGTTAAGAATATGTCAGAAGAAACAATGTATTGCTCAGCCGTACAATTGTGGAACGCGGCAAATCAGCACGTCTCAGAAGTTGTTGCAAAAATCACCTACGAGGTGTTTCAGCACCTGACCTTCGCACTGGGTAATAAGTGATACCGTGTAATACTGAGTGATACTACATCATCATCATCAGACCATATACGTCCCCACTGCAGGGGCTCAGGCCTTCCTTATGGATGGTTGAGGAGGATGAGCCATGATCCTCCACGCTGATTAAAAGCTGATTGGAGGATATTAACAACTGCAAATACAAAACAGATTTTTCCCACAACTTCCTAGATATTACAGTTAAAACACAGAAGTGTAAATAATATAATTATTTAACTTGTTTCAGGGTGTTCAAACGTTGATTGGCCCGAATGGGGATGGTTAGAGAGTAGATTGGCGACGAGACGACCGCCCGTCGAATATATAGACCTGACAGACTGCGGGTCAGTCACTGACTCAGGTCTTTGCGCGCTATTACATACCTGCCCGTCATTGCAATATCTGTACTTAAGGCGCTGCACTCTAGTCACAGGTAATTCATTCTTCTTTTTCTAGAAGTTAAGAAAGGTTCTGGAATGGCGACCACATACCTGACGACGTTCAGTGGGTAGGCCATCACCAGTATTCTTATTCTTCGTATGTATTGGCAATCTGACAAATATTTCGTGAAACTGCTGGATGTGGGCAGAGCAGGACCTCAATTGTCTTGGACACATATGGGTGAGGCCTATGTCCATTAGTGAGGCGAGTAGTTGTTATGCCTTGTACTTTAATAATGACAAACGAATAGTAAAAAATGATGACAGTAAATATATAGTGTTTATCTACCAAAAGACATAAAATGTAACAAAATACCGTGGTATCCTCCAGAGTCATGACTAGAGAGATAGGCAATCAAAACCTTGGTCAGTAATCATATAAACCAGTAACTATGAATAAAAAATTATATAGTAAATGAATATAGAAATTTACATAAAATACGAGTACTATCGATTCATATTCTGCATTACCATAAATAGATGATCGTCAGTTACCAATGCGCGGATCCATACAACCGAACCTATTTACTTGATAGTATTAAAATAACTTTATGGGTATCTTTATTGATTACACTAAAGTTGTTTTATATGTTCAATAATACTGTCAAACGAAGAGAGATTCTCATAATAATATAGATTTTATAGGCATAATAAGATCCTTTTTAAATCTACACTATATAGGCAAAAATGCTGAATTATGCAATATTTTTTTCCGTAATTTTAATACAAGCAATGCATTCTCATTTACATGATTTAGCTAGTGCATTTATTATTTGCAATTGAATGTAATTGATCCCTTATTGTTGATGACAGTTTTATCAGTATATTTCGATAGGTGCTTTTATATTTTTATGACTTTACTCTCTTTGTTATTATTGCTATCCGTCTTGTTCTGTTTTGTGAATCAGTGTTTTTAATCAACTTTTTCTTTTGTAATTTTTTCAGTTCATTATACAATCCGCGTTTAGTTATCGATAATACTATCATGGTAGTAGTTAATTAAAATAATGACCAAGTTGCTGTCTATCTGTTTGCGTCGTAAATCATCAAATGGACTGACAAGTGGACGTAGAACACAGTACGGTATAAATCAAACATGTGGGCATATTTCTACTGCACCTCGGAGCGATGCGTAGCGTCGTTATATTTCATCTTTCTCTACAAATGGATAGTGAGACTAATCTTTGGTTCAGTCTAAGAATAAATCACGGTCATTAAATTTGCATTACCTATGTACGTTTGCAACATTTTATTGATCTCCCTGCGGTTCAACCATTAAAAATCAATGAGCGTCCATTAAATAAAATTAATGTTATTTACAATAATTGAAAGCTAAGCTCTGTTTTTATAATAAATTTCATTTTACAATATTTTAAACAAGTGTTAATTACCTTATAAATAAAATAATAAAGTGTAAACGAAAAAAGAATCTGTAAAATCATAAACCTTATTTATAAAAACGGAAAAAACTGGTTATTTAAAAAAAATATCATCGTCATTATCAGCCAACAGCAGTCCATTGCTGGGCATAGAAAAGGTACAAATGGTTTTAATTAAAGCTGAAATTGTTATTTTATCAACTATATATGTTAAATTGGGTTTATAGGCACTCTTTTGTCACAAAAATTTGTGTCTAAAATTAAATTACTTTTTTCGAATAAATATTGAAATAGCCTAAAGATTATTTCCGAAAGAGCCCGACATGTTCGTCATAACTTTAATAACTTCGAATCTTCTGTAAAATAATTTTTTAGATAATTTAAAATTCTAGGTTCACATCGGATTATGATGTGACCTCGAATATTTCGAGTTAACAATGGTATGCAGTTATCATTTCAGATGGATTCACAGTTGATATGGATATTTTAAAAGTTTTCCTACTAAGCTAATGTCTGCGTTTTTCAGTAATACTGAAGTCGAATCCATTTAAAGTTATAAATTTTATTACTGACTTGAAACGACTAAATGGTTTCCCGCAATTTCGGGCAAGTAAATTATTATGTCACCCACCTATAATGAAGGTTCGCGTAAGTGAAAAAGTTTTTTAAATCCAGTAGTTTTGGTGTGTTGATGACGTGAAGTTGACGTCATCCATGGCAACGACTTTTAGGTGTCGTCAACTTAAAAGTCTTCGGTTCTGTTCCCGGTCGGATCAATATAGAAAATAATTATCAATTTATATATTAATAAATAAAACAACTTATGTTGCGTTTTATCGCGTTTGTACCTATTTAGTTTTATTGTCGTTTCAGACGCTTTACAGGTTCCGTGTGTGTGTTTTATGTGTTTCATTCATGAATAAGTATAGTGCGCGTGAAAATATAAGAAATCAACATGAAAATATAAGATGTTTCGGATCTGAATATATTTAATGTTTAAATTATCTTTAATGAGTAATGCTGTTCGTAATTTTTGTTATGTTGTGTTACTTATTTATTTATTATTTTTTATATATTTATGTTTCAGACGCTGGCGTTCGGTGGATACCTTCATACTGCGCTTTAAAAGAGTTGAGTGTTTCCGACTGCACCGGCGTCACCGACTTCGGACTGTACGAGCTCGCGAAACTAGGTCCAGCGCTGCGGTATCTATCAGTTGCTAAATGTACACAAGTAAGAATTGTCATCAGCCTTTTAACATCCCTACTATTGGGTCACAAGCCTATCCTATGGATGGAATGGTCGCTGCGATGGCACGTTCGCTTCGGTTACTCGACTCGCTTTTTTTTTGGTCGCAGTTTTTACCTACCCTAACTGATTGATCGGTTTTTTATGTGAAGTAATATTAAGCGAATTTAAATTATTATAGAAAAATGTGCCTAAAAGATAAATATGTTTTTACACATACTGTATGATAGCAAAATATTATTATTTTTCTTTTTCATGGTAGCTGAATGGTTGTATCAATAATGTCACAATATCATTTCATATGTTTGTTAATCAGTAACAGTCACACAGAATAACGCATGCGAAAAACAATTATGCCAAAATATATTAGGAAATAGAACGTGATGCTAAAAGAAGGGTGATGTGCCCAGGTATCCGATTCTGGTATCCGTACACTCGCTCGGCGCTGCTACAAGCTGCGGTACCTGAATGCGCGCGGTTGCGGCGCGCTGGGTGATGATGGAGTGGAGGCCGTCGCAAGAGGCTGCTCCAGGTTGCGAGCCTTAGATTTAGGTGCTACTGATGTTTCAGAAGCGGGCTTACAGGTAAACCTTATAATTAGAAAACGTCTTTAAATATATTAGGTAGATGAATCCGTGAATGCCATCTGAAGTCACAAAAACTGACATAAGTCAAAGAGTAAGTACATTAAGGAAGCGATAAGCGGGGAATTCACCAAACGGGCATGCCCGCGGGTAAATCTCGTTAAGTATAGGATGGGCATGTCTGGATAGTATAGGACCGTCGCTGTCATTACACAGACCTATAGTAACGAAGTATGGCAGGCATGTCCGCAGACATGTCCGCGGGCAAGCCATAACGTGAATTCTCCTCTATAAACGTGTGAACTAAGCATCTATCACTTTAATGTCGCTACATATGTCGCAAGGGGTCCGATAAACATATTGGTAAATCTTCAGTTTCCCTTGGGACAACCGGGTGAACGGAGCTATATATATTGAAGTAGAGAAAAATGGGATTAACTCGAATTTTGTGTGCTTTTATTTTACTCAGTAAAATGTGTTTTGTGTTATATCTGAATAATATAAATTAAACAGTATTTTGTTTATAAAAAGTATTAATAAAAGTTAGAATAATAGTTTGATTTGATATAAAAAAAAATGTTCATAAACGGCCGGACATATATAAAAAACACACATATACAGACGATTTGAGAACCTCCTGCTCTTCCTAAAATAACACTTTTTATTCAAAGTAATTTATAAAATAAATGAAACAGTTCACTATCAAAAGTTATAAATGAAAAATTCTAAGTCGATGAAAAGTTATAACTTGTTTTACACAGACAATTTGCAAGCATTGAAATTCTTAAACATGATTTTATTGATAATATCAGAAAAATATAAGACTAGCGTTATGTAATAATAGTCTTAAATCAGTCTTTTAAATCCAAACGTTTGTTCTGCGTAATAGCGATCTTATCAGGAACCATATTTCATGAGATTGTATTGTGAAATGGCTTTTTGACTGTGAGCTATCATTTTCGTCGTATCTATTCAGAACTTTTCTATTTTTAGCTATGTTGGGTCTATCTTTATCTTTACGCATGATTTTTTTGGGGTAGGTAAACGGAACTATAAGCTACACATGATTATTCACTTGCTTTTTGCTACATTGACTTATGTGAATCATTTTACGTGTCGGTCTATTAAAATAAATAGATAGTTGTCATGTACACCATATAGGATTGATACGTGGTGTCAGGTATACCATGAGGTGTAGGCATCCCTCAAGCTTAAAATAAGAGTCTCAGCTGTGCCAATATAGAATCATATTGTCTCAGGACACAATGGTCGTAGTACTTGCGTTGTTCCAATTTTTCTCAATGCAAGGGTTCTTCTTAGCTTCTAATCCAAGTAAAGGTTAAAATTTTCTTCATTTCTGTTCCACCAAATAATTCAGGAATTATTTAAGCCGTCAAGAAGACTGAGTGCAAAAAATCCACAAAAACTCTTGTCTTAATTATAACTGATCTGAGCATGTAACATTATGTAATATTTATTTTCACAGATCTTAGCACGCTGTTGTCCGAATCTCAAGAAACTGGCGCTTCGAGGCTGCGAATTGATAGGTGATGATGGCCTAGAGGCTGTTGCGTACTACTGCCGAGGACTCACTCAACTAAATATCCAAGATACTCCCGTCACACTTCGAGGGTACAGAGCGGTGAAGAAGTACTGTAAACGATGCGTCATAGAACACACCAATCCAGGATTTTGTTGATGGTTCAAATAGCTCTCTCGGTTAAAATTTACTGTCTTGAAGATTTGCATCCTATGGCCGAGGATTTATATAACTGGCTATTCGGGATACTGCAGTCACTTTGTGAGAGTGCAGAGTAGTCAAGAAGAAATGTATCGAAAGCATCTTAAAACTCATCTAATCTCTTAATTTTTTCTGATGACAACTTTAGTGTTTAATAATACCTAACAAAATTATTGTCCTAAAAAAAATAGATGTAGGAAAGAAAAGTGACGACCATAAATCAGTGCAGAATTACATTACACGTTACAAACATGTGATTATGTAAATTTTTCAAAACAAGTTTCGGATTGATATATTATTGATATTGATTTCAGATTAAATAAAACTACTGTTTCAGCTTGCCATTTTTTCTCAATACAACGTGTCCTGCCGTAGATTTCCACACCAATGGTATAACTTTCTACTTTAACAGGTGCTTGTAACAGCGTTGATTGAATAAAGAATATTAAATTCGAATTTGAACATAGATTTCATTTCTCAAGACAGTTATTGGAATATTATTAAGGAAATTTCTAACATTTATCGAAGTTTTGTACCCCGTGCCTAACCTGTCGTAAGTAATATGATTATATCTGTTAAACCTTTTGTGTTTTACTTTTACGAGTTGATTGAAATAGGTTGAAAGCTGTCAAAGCATACCTGCCATCTTAGAAAATTGATACTGACAGTTGAAAAAAAAGTAGAACTTTATATAGAAAAGTATCATCTAGAAAAACGAAAATACGCAATTGAATATAAAAATTTCATGAAACATCTGAATGACATTGAAAAGATGTTTTATTCTGAAGTAATTTTCTATTTTTATTCAATTTGTAGCTGTTTAATTAAGTGAAAAATTGATCCAAACCAAATTCGAAGCGCTGAAAAGTGGAATGAATAAAGTTTTAAACATAATTTTAGACCTCATTGGCAGCTATTTTGAAAATTGGCAAACTGATCCATACTTGACAAAACGATGAAACACATTAAGGTTTTTTGCCTCTATTTGTGTACTGCTCAACTGCTAATTATGGTAAACCTACTAAGAGTATTATAAACTTATTTAATTAGGACTCACTGAAAAGAAAAGAGATACATACTCTTAGTACTACGACTTCAGGGAGCTTTTCTGATTTGGTGTAACAATTCTTGTTAAATGATTGCAAGAATCTGTATATTAACACAATTTCTCAATTATGACTAAAAGCATATTTTTATATAAGGAACAAAAATGTAAATGGTATAAATTAAGATGTACATACATATATAGGGGTTTAATGTTAACGTGTGAATACTGAAAAGTATGTATAGTGAAAAAATAAAAAACCTAGTTATTAAAAATAAAATTTCAGCTTTACTATGTTGATAGGATACTTAAAAAATTTTGTATGACATTTAACGCGTTATATGCAATATTTACGAAGCATATTGACGAAGAAGTGATAAAAATGGGCCCAATGCGATGAGAATCACATAGAATCTGGAACCGATCCCAATAGAATAACCGTAATTCATTATACCGACATATTTTTGGAGAAATAATTTGGGGCCTTTTCCTCTAGTAAATCAAACAACGTTCAGTCACGTCATGACGTAGAGATTTAGCATTATTTATTGCTACCGAGCCGTGAAAATGTTTTCAAAAATATATTCATCTAAACGCAAACATAATGACTAATAAATTACATATAATTTATTGATAAATGTTTAAGGAAGATTAATTTAAAAAATTGCATTATCAAAACGCGAGATCCCAGCAAAACAAGGCCCTCCATTCTCTAACAGCTATGGGATTAATCATATGAAATGCTAATCATAGATTAACTTTTACCGAGTGCTATAAATTACAATATGATGTTTGTCGTTTAATGTCTAATGTTGTGATTTGCTACTGCTACTTTTAACAGCTCGAAGGCGAAGTCTCTGTTGCAAGAGATAGCATAACATATTAGTTTACTATTTGAAGTGCAAATGGCTCGTTATTATAAACATAAAAATTATAATTCCAAATGTTTTTCTGTTTGTCTGTCTGTCAAATTTATATGATTTATATGAAGTTATAGAGCCAAATCAGGCTCTTTAATACGAGTATAGTTGGATGAAAGTGTAATAACATGACATTTTATTTAAGTTGAATGAAATTGTCTATGAACTATAGTTTCTTTCACCCTCTATTTTTCTCCAACATCAATTACCCGTGTTTCAGGTTAAAAGTTAAGGTTAAAGCTAAAAATTGTCTATATATAAATACAAGTTTTAGCTTTTAATCCTACAGTTCGTAATAGATTTTGCTTGTTATGAAAATAAAAATCATGTTACTTTGATACATTACAATATTCAATATTTGAAGAGTTATGCCAAAAACGCGATACAGGATCAGCAAATAAAAAAATAATATTGGATATCGCCAATATAAGTAAAAAAGTAGATACAGAATACCATATCTAATACATGTATTAAGCTGAGGAGGATACACATTTGAGACTCGAATTAATTTTTTGATATTCGAATTATTTTCAATATAGTTGGTGAAACTGGAAGTATTTGTTAAGAGAAGTCTTGTATCTAAATATGAAATATATATGTTTTCCATAATTTCCATTATAATCTCCAAATTATATAGGTAACAAATTAAACAGTTTGACGAGTTTAAAAGCATAAATGCATACCTTCTCATTTTATAAAGAAAACACTTCAAAATGGCGGCTTATAAATAATTTCCAAAGCTATCAAAGAAGGACAAACAAAGAAACAAAAGAAGGAGTTCAGAATAGATGTACATAAATTAATTACTAGATTTCGTGTACATTAATTATTACACTTCGATGAAAGTTTGTCGTTAAAATATTTTTTATATTACTGTTACTGTTACTGTTGTTATGTCCGTATACCACTATAAATAGGTTTCGTGGACTCGAATTGCCTTCCATTTCATCTTATAGCATCGTGTTTTGAATATGTGGTTCCAGTATGATTCTCCAAACAGACAAATCACTTTTTGGCGAGAATCATTATTGATTCAAAAAAGATCCGAATAAACCTGCTTTCTATTCGTTAGAGAGTTATTGATTTTCCTATTCAATCACGTAAATAGCATATTGCTGTGCCATAGAACAAATTAAATTAAAAGAATGTATGAAATAACGAATCAGCGACAGTTAGAATATGTAAATGTAAAATGATAATTTAGTTAAGGTTTATACATATGTAATTAACGGTTTGTCTTTAAATATATTGTTCATGTATAGTAGTTTACTTAAATTTATTAACAAAATTGCCATTGTTGTTTAAATAAAGATTAAATTATAATTTTTAACAAATACTGGGTTTTATTTATAAAGACCATAGCAAAGCCATAGTGCGTTAGTACGTCAAGGCGACAGAAATGTTGACAATGGGTGTTGATATTAATATATTTTGCAGTAAACTCACGTTCATATTCATGTCATAAAAATTTGGAAACGTAGCCACTACTTTCGTCGCGCTATGTTGAATTTGCATTTTTGTGTCATGTCAAGTGGTTAAATCAGCCGTGGAATTGGACAGCTAGCCGTTTAATTGAATAGTGCTATTCAATTGCATAGGTGACCTTCGATCAGTCAAATTTTAAAAAAAATATTAATTACCATTAGTTGGAACTGGTGGTAGATTACGATATATATTTTAATTGCCATAATATATTTAAAAAATGCATTATAAATGTGTCAAATAGTATTGGCTTTTAAAAGTAGCTATACTTTTAATTAAAAAAGAGAATCAAACCTTTGTCTTAATGTGAATATGGAACCGGAAAGGGACCAAAACGTCTAAAACAAAATACAAACGCGATAAAACCGTTTAAAAGTTGTTTCATTTATGGATAGTGCACATGAAAATATGTGAAAACACTCTGTAAAGGATTGTTTGTTGCAACGTTAAAGTAACATTTTGAATCTCGTAACGTAGAGATGACATGAAGGGTCAAAAGTAATATAATGGCAACGCAAAACTTATATGTTAAATAAATGTTGATAAACAAAGCGAAGCTAGCGAAGGAATATATTGAATGAACGTTTTAACAGCTTTTAAATTAGTTGTCTTGTTGAACGGTACAAATGTAATAATGATTCAATTAGAAAACTAGTCGTGCAATTGAATAGCGCCATTCAATTAAAGGACTAGCCGCCCAATTGCATGTCTGATTTAATTACTTAGCTGCAGCATATACCTACACACCACCCTTTAGTACATATATCACCTGCCAGTTGCCAGAGTAAGTGCATGGAAATAAAAAGGATTTGACTTAATTTACAGTAAGGCTCCTGATATTTAATAGCGTTAACTTGAATACAATGTCATTGCCAATATTATATCGAGTTTTTGTAATCAATTAAAATTTTAATTTCAACTGAATAAGCTTGAATAATTCCTGGTTAATTGGAGAAAAAACTAAGTTTTGCGATAACCAATTTCTATAAATTTATCATGCAACGGAGGTTGGACCCAACACTACCTCTGATGCGAAGGTAATTTCAACGGATACATTTATTATGAAATTATAAGGACATTAGAATATCCACCAATTTTCGTTCGTGAACCAACATCCACATATCACAAGGTCTTCAGTTACTCAATGATGCTAATTTTGTTGTACTACTCTCTGAACTACGCCAAAAATATAACTTTATTTCAATAACGATATTCTATGGTCTTACAAACCAAACACATATATTTATACTCCTGTATATTAAAATTTTAAAAGCTTACTTCTGTTATCTTCACAATTAAAAACGTAGTTTGACAGGACTAAATCTAAATTCAGTTAATCTAACGAGACTTCTTTTAAGTTCTGTGGTAACCTTTAAAACCTTTAATTTGTCATATAAGTTGTAATGATTGTATTTTTTAAACCATAGTCACTAGTTGTAAACACTAATTACTTAAACTCACTTAACGTTATTACACATTGTCGCTCTAATTAATCGTTCAATCGTATTAACTAATTGCTTTTATGTCGTGAATAGCAGTCGACAACAATGGCCCTTCTGCTCTCAGAAGAACAATTGATCAAATCTAACAACAGGGGTCTAATTATTTAATATTAAAATCTATCGCAATTCTTTTCATTTTACAAATTTGAAAGATACGAACATAAACTATTTGACATGTCACAGCGATTGCAGTCACGACGTTTTTTTTAAAAATATGGAATTAACGATCATTCTACGCAAATAACTTGAAGCTAGCGAGAAATTAAACGAATTGTTATCGGGTTGTATGCTAAATGAATTTTTTATCGGGTTTAGCTAAGCTTTCAACATTTTTTTGATTATTCATATAATAATAATAATAACACTTTATTGTCACACCATTTTACAGTTAAAGTTTTAAACATGAAATTTGCAAATTAAATATAACACAATAGTGTAGCAATTGGCGGTCTTATCGCTAACAGCGATTTCTACCAGACAACCTTTGGATGGAGAAGAATGAATAGCAGTTATGAAAAACGGAGGTGTAGAGTAAGAGTACAAACATTCAAGATAAATAAGTAACATTTCCTAAAGATACATTAATAGTAAGATATATAAATATATATAATATATACATAAATATAAATAATATATACATACATAAGATATATACTATTAATGTACTTTAGTGAAACGAGGAAGAGTTTTAGCAACTTAGAATAACAAGGACAAATAATGTTTTTTTACCAGTTCTTTGAAGATGGTGATTGATTGTGCCTGTCTTATGGAAGCCGGAAGAGCATTCTAAAGGCGCACAGCTTGGACGGTAAAGGAACCATCATAAAAGGTAGTGTTATGGAGAGGAGTTTCAAGTTTCAGGTTTTCCGATGATCTTAAAGAATGTGTAGTGGAAAAGTATAGAGGATTAAATCGTTTTTTCTAAAAGCGCTGATAACAGGGATTAAACAGCATATTATAGAGATGAGATAACATGTGAGTATTCCGGCGAAGACGAATAGGAAGCCACTTGAGCTGAATGTGAAATTGAGATATATGATCATATTTACGTAATCCAAATATAAATCATCATCCGTTTTTCAAAACCGATTGCGACTTTAAAGTTTGTTTAAGTCCATAAATCGTTATCACAATCGCTATACCTTTGGAAGATTGCGATAGACTTGAAGATAAGACAATTAGCCCACATACCACAATAAGATGTTCCGTAGTTTATTTTAGTTCAAGTTTCTGGTAAAATCAGAATGAAATGGACTTAAATAATAACTAATAACTCTTGGATCTTATATCAAACAGTATTCACATTTCAGTGACAACATTAGGTATTCATAAATTGACTATTA